AGAGACAGGCAGTAAAGGCCGTTGAATAGCTACCAGAAGGAAAACATGGGGAACAATGCACCCAAAACAGTCTATGTAGCACAATGTTATAAACAGAACCACCATACAGAGCCGTTATCTTAAAACTCAGGCCCTCGGTACTGCAAGCTGGAGGAGGACTAGCCAGATGTGTATAAGAGACAGGGTGAGAACCGAGCGGCGGAGGGCTGGGGGGGCGTAATGGCCGTCAGAGCTGCGCAGAGTGAGGCGGCGGCTGCGTCGCCGTCGCCCTCTGCGGCCCGAGCGCCCGGGAGGGGAAGGAGGTGGTGGGGTCGCTCCCTCCTTGCCTTTCTTGCCGTTCTCCGCCACAATGCAGTTCCCCGCCATTTCGGGAGGAGGGAGGTTGTCCTGCTGCTGTCTGGTCCGCGGGGGCTCGGTGCCGGCCCGGTCAGCGGCGCGGCCGGGGGGCTGCTGGCAGCTGCCCTTTCACCCTCCCAGGCTCTGGCCACCGCCGAGGGGCTCTGGTCAGCAGACATTGCCGCCGGGTTCTCCCCCTCCTGCGTGCCAGGATCGCCACTCTTCAGGGCACCGAGGGTTTTGCTGCACGTTTGTCCCTGGTTTATGCCAAGGTCACCAGTGAAACGTAAAGAGGCCTCAGGAGCTGACTGTCTTCCCGGCCCAGCAGTTCTTTCATCATAGTCGTCGTCGTCACATCTTGTGGCAAGTGCAAAGTGTTAAAATGGGGAAGGGTAACCAGAACCTGCGTGGTTTTCTGTGCTGGATATCGCAGCTGCCCTGTCATCACACAGCGTATGGTTTTCCGATACCCGCCATAGGCACAGGAAGAGTTAATGCTGAAGAGGTTCAGTCCTGATAACACAGCATGGTGTGGGGTTTTCAACCTTTTTATTTTGCAATGGAGGGACCTTTTTTCACTTGAGGGAAACTTACCAGGGACATTTTGGCTTCTGTTTTTAATCAATAAAGATCAGGGGAAGCTTTGAATGTCAGCATGTTGTTGCTGGCTTTCCCTTCCTCTCCCTACCTTTGCCTTGCCAGCATGTGAGGGAGGGCATGTGACTTTCTACAGGGGTCTCGGGGCTTGATTTGAGAAGTGGCAGCTTTATATTGTGTAGCCCTAGATCTGTGACCTTTATGTGAATTTATGTCTGTAATTAAGCTACAGTGTGTTTGTTTTGAACTCCGGAGAAATGGAAATTTGACTTCTTTATCTAAGATACCACCGCGTGGACTTAGAGCAGCTAATCATAACAGTCATGGTTTCAGTGGTAAAGCCTAAGTACAGAATAAGATTACTACTTTCTTTTTTTTCTCTTCTAGAAGCGGTGCCAAGTTGACAGCACCGTTGGGATGCTTAGTCTCTAGGCAAAAGCACACTCTTCCTGACTTGCCATATGACTATGGCGCTTTGGAACCTCATATTAATGCAGAGATCATGCAGCTGCACCACAGCAAACATCATGCCACTTATGTGAACAACCTGAATGTTACGGAAGAAAAATACAAAGAGGCACTAGCAAAAGGTTTGTATATCCACAGTCAACAGATGAAATGGGAGCTAGTTGATGTACATGATGTAAGAGAAAAAAATGGTTAGCCCTTTTGAGGGGAGATAATTTCTTTTTAAAAGTTTTGGATTTTTTTAATAAGGTGACGTTTTATTGGGAACAAGCTTTTATTGTAAGCTTTGGTGGTGCTGGTAATTGGAAACTAGGTATAATTAAAAAGCATGAATTCTGTTCTCTGTAGTACTGTAAATCTAGAAGAAAATTTATTGATTGTTGTGGATTTAGTCCATGTTTACATTAGTAACTTGAACCAAACACTGAGTCAGCAGGAAATTGCAGTCATTTTACTAAACAAATACTTTGTAATGACATGTTAGTAACAAACATACAAAGGCAAATTTCTGCACCTTGATGGTTTTCACATCAGATGCTCCACTGATTCTTGTGAAATAATCTTACCTTTTTACAAATGGAGGTAGGACAAATGTGTGTTAACATATACAACACTGAGGGAAGAGATCTGAATTTGGGTGTCCATTATGCCAATTGCATCTTGAGACATGCTGACTTCTATGAAAACTTTACAGTTGTAACAGGGCTACACTGAAACATTAAATGTTTTATTCAAATCTCCTTTCAGTCTTTCGGTTGGACTGATGAAAATGTGTGAAATAACATGTACATCTTTTCAAGAAAGTAGAATATTTTCTAAAGTTTTTTTCTTTTGTGATGATCCTTCTAACGAGTATCAGTTTACTTCTAAGAAGTGATTACTGTATAGACTCTCTTCTGTCTGGTTGCCAGGTAGCTTCACAGTGTAACTTAACTGCTTGGGCTTGGATGAAGGAGAATTGTCAATATCTGAGTAAACTTGAACCCTGTATCCCCCGATAATTGCCAGTGTGCTCGCTTAGAGAATGTTGGTTACCTATGCGAGTTTAGAGATTTTCAGGTGCCTAAGTAAGCCTGAAAATAACTTGTCTAAATTAATGAACTAATGAGATTTGATTAAGAATCAGGGAATCAAGATTGGCTTCTGCTTTGTCCTGCCAGCAGTGGACAGAAAAGTTGTATTCCAGGAGATTGAATTAATGCAAACACAATTGAGGCGGCAGCCTGAAGAAAACAGTGTATCTGCTGTGGCTGTTGCTAATGCTGTTTAATGACTAAGGCTTCAGCCACTAGTGGTGGCAGAGTTTCTGTTTAGCAGAAACATCTGCAGTCTTGTGGATCCTTTGAGATATCTTTCAAAAATACTATCCTTTGATAGTGTCTCATTGCTTGCTGTTGGAAACGATCTATCTAGAAGTAAAGGTTAATCTTTCCTTAACAATTTTGCAGGCATTATTTTGAAAATGGATAATGTATTGGTGGTGGTAATGCACACCAAAGTAGACAGATATTTGAGATATTTTTGAGTGTGTGTTTTGTTTTGTTTTGTTTTTTCCCTAATTGGTATCCCTGTATATTGTGTGTAGTATTTTGACACTCATTAGAAAAACTTATACGACAAGGCTTTAAGAAAGGACTAAGTCTTAATTGCCACCTCATTCTCTCAGTATTGTCGTTATTTTTCCATACTTTAAGCATGATCAAAAAGTCTTTCTGTGCTGCTTTTCAGTGTTGGGTTACATAGCACGTCCGATGACTAATTTATCTTCTGGATAACAGAACCCTGTCAATGGCTTTTGCTTAGCAATAGAAAGAAATATGTTCTCTTCAAATTATCTTTAACGTGTTCTTCACCTATCTATATCTGCGTAGAAAATTCATATAAAGGCTGTCCTGAGTTGAGTCCCATTGGCTTATTATGTCAGCTCATTTGAAAATGTGTGTGTACTTCTGTGCTAGGGGTGCAGCACAGGACTTTGTTTCAGCATAAACTGGTTCTGATTACTGGTCCATCAAAATGTGCAAGATTTACCAATTGAAGGATATAAACTTGAATCTTATTTTCAGTGAAAACTTGTGCCTACCACAATTTTCCCTGCTCTTCTGACTGTCATGTGACCTGTGGTGCTTTACTTAACTGTTCTTAGGAGGAAACAAATGAATCTCGGTAGACTGGGAAGCTGAGCTGGATAGTCTCTTGAGCACCTCTAAGCTGCCTGTTTTGGTTTACTGAATTTTCTCCTCTGTGTGTTGAGGAATGTGGTAAGCTGGAGCAAAGGTCAGAGACTCTATATACAAATAAATTCCAAGATACTTTTGCTGTAACTTAGGGGCGAGTACTTTTTTTTTTTTTTTCCATTGTCTTTTCCAGTTCAGAGTTCATCAGGGCTGATCTGACAGCACCACAAATACTGTGTTTTAAGGACAATGGTCAAATGGCATCTCTGGTTCCTAGTGACCTTAGGAATAGGTTCCTCTAAGGAATGATGGAATAGAGTGCTGAAGCTGTTAAAGACATTCTGGGTTATTTTTGGATTTCTGATTTGTGATATGCTGTATGCTCTGGATGAACTTAAAGTGTCATTAAGGCATGCAAAATTCAAGGAAAATCTGCCAAAGATGCCATTTGAGTGGATATGAGGGATGTCTCATCTTTAAATTGATACCTGAATTCAGCAAATAGTGTTTCTACTAACTGCATTAGATGCTTTGTTCCAGTCCTGTACCTGTCTGTAGTTTCTGAAGGGTTTGAGGAGATGCTGAGAACATGGAATCTTCTATTAAAACCTTAGTGACAGGTGTCCTACTGCTTTGTGGCTTGCCTTCATGTCTGTGTTAAGGTTGCTCATTTACTGCTATAAGAAGATTACTACCATTCATTCCTGAGAGAGAGTGGAGGAAACAGCTTTCCCCACTGATGTGGTGTAAAAAAGCTTCAAAAATCTTAGAAATGTTTCAATTCTTTTAAAAGCCAAAATAGCATTCAAAACACGTGTTAAAGTGGTGCAACACCATTTAGAGGCACAAGGCACCAGTGAATTCTTTAAGGAATATGACATTTTGTGGAGAGGAAGTACAGGGTTGTCCTTGATTTCAGATACAGGGTTCTGTCATGTGGAGTAAAGGGATCAGGGCCACTATCTCTTCCTGCAAGTACCTCCCTCCAAAAAAAGCCAAACAAAAAAATAAGAGGCAGAAAAACATTTTGTTCATATATGTGCTCACTGTACTTGTCAACTTTCAAGCACAAACTGGCCTGTAAATTGTTTAAGAAGTTTAAAAATTCTTAGTTTGCAAATCAGTGAGCTAATGGATGAACAATATTCTTGTCTTGTAGTGGTAATACTGAGGAATTTACAAGTGCTGGGTCCTTAAAGTGTTCTGGCTGTCCTAGTTGCTTTATTCTGAAGAATGGCAGTAGATCTTACATGCATAGTATGGTTTACCTGATAGTTGCAATATTGGCAGATCGCATATCATTACAGCATAAGGAAAGGTCAAAGATAAAGAAATCTTTAATGTGGTTTGTCAGTGACTATCTAAAATATGGGTAACAGTCACAAACCTTATGTTTTCCATAGACCTGTTAAAAGCTAGTAAGACTTGAAAGATTTTGGAGATCGATGGAGGCCTAGTGGCAACTTACTACTGTGGTGATTATGATGTTTTTATTTACCTGTGTATTTTTATCTTCTGCATCCTTAGGTGATGTTACAGCTCAGGTGTCACTTCAGCCTGCACTGAAGTTCAATGGTGGGGGTCATATCAATCACACCATCTTCTGGACAAACCTTTCTCCTAATGGAGGAGGAGAGCCTAAAGGTTAGTGCTTCTTACAGTGGTTTTCAGTTTTAATTAACCAGTAGAACTGATGATCTTTTCTCTCTTTGAAAGAGTCCAAAGGATAATTCTTTTTCAGACTTAATTTGCCTTTCTATATGACAGTTATCACAATTCTGAGGAATTTAGGGTTTTTTGGATGCAAACAAGGAATATAAAACTAGCCCTGTGCTAAGAATTTTTAATTTCTAAAGCTGATTATGTGTACACTGCAAAATACTTGGCTATTGCTGTATATTGTCCTTTCCATCTTCATAAGAGAAAACAGTTGTACAAAGCTATGCTAATTAAGTTGCCATGTGTACCTGGTTCACAGAAAGGGAGGAAATGTGCTGCAGACCACTCAGCCTAGTGGCTGGATTTGTGCTCCAATTTGAATAGGGACAGTTTAGCAGTTAAAGCCTAAAGGAAGAAATCCCCTTTGAAAGGATAGAGTAGTGATTATCTACAAGTGACCTGCAGTTAAAGGTAAAGGCTCTATAATGAAGATCTCACAAAAGCTGTTGTGTTAAACTTGAGGGTCTTTGAATTAGGTATATGCCTGTCTGTAAACTGGTGAGCTTCAGATGCTTGGTACTTCAGTGTTCATAGATGACATCTACTTGCACCTTTTGACTCTAACATGGAAGTACAATGATCCTCTGAAGATGATCTGGTTAAGTCTAGAGCATAAAATCTTGAAGCTTCAAATCTGAAATTTCAATAAGCAGTTCTGGTATCAGTTCGTTTCTGATAGAGCTTGTTTTTAGATGACATTCTCAGAAAAGATGCTTTAAAGCCTTGATTTTTGTCTCCCAGTTTCTGTGAAGTTTCTGTGAAAGTCAGCAAGCCTAAAATGTCATCTTTCAGTTTCAGCTGAATGGTTCAAGGCTTTTGTAGGAAGGCTGCAAAAACCCATCTTAAGAATCACTTGCAGCTATCACCAAGAGATTTTCAAGACCATCTGTCTGAAGGTGGAATAAATGAGGAATTCACCAGCATTGCACTGTATGAAGTTTTCTTACACGTGCTAATTAGAAAGGAGTGTAGACACCTTCAGGCTTTGAGCAAACACTTAATTTTATGAAAACCTCAGTGTACTAGGGTGTAGGGGAAAGGAAGTAGTTGGTGCATTGTTACAGTAAACAATTCTAGTTTCCGTTCCCTTTATCCCGGCACAGATTAGTTTAATAATAATAAAGAAGGGATTTAGTCACAGAAGCCTACTTACTCATATCAAATAGACTACTTAACTGTGGAAGCAGATGTAAATCTAAAATCTGAGGGAAGTGATTAAATACCTCTTACTATGTGTAGGTTCGTTATACTGATATCACAGTAGTAAGACAAATCACAACCACTTAGTGTTGTCCTTTTAGGTATGCAAACTAGCTCCTTATCTTTCCTAGTCCTCTGTGGCATTCCCTTTCCTTTTTAGACAAGTATGTCAGCTGAATGTCCGGTTGATAGCACCCTGACTGTATCTTTGAGGACAGCATGTTTGACTACTGCACTAACTTATTTCCAGTCTTCTTGCCCTCTTAAGCAGGTCGGGACAGAACTGTTAATTACTGATGAACTACTTCCAAGTGTCTAGACACTTCCTTCCCACAGAGCCCAAGTGCTTCTGCTCCCCTTTTCTTCTATTTCCAGGTCATATCTGGAAATTCAAAGATGTTAAGTACCCGATGTTCTGTGATCTTTCTGTGCTTTTTCTGAAGGAGAATTGATGGAAGCCATCAAGCGTGACTTTGGTTCCTTCGCAAACTTCAAGGAGAAGCTGACAGCTGTATCAGTTGGTGTTCAAGGATCAGGCTGGGGGTGGCTTGGCTATAACAAAGAGCAGGGACGCCTACAAATAGCAGCTTGTGCAAATCAAGACCCTTTGCAAGGAACAACAGGTCAGGTTTCTTTCCTTCCCCTCTGCTTCTCTCTTTGTAGATCTCCTAGGCAAACGTATGAGATCTGAAAAAGGATTTGTGAACACATACTGAGAAGAAATTGCTGGATAAATAGGGCTGGAAAGCTGAATATTACTACTAGCAGAAATGGAAAAAAAAATTGCAGTTTTTAGAACAGCATTTGTAAAGCAGGACTTAATACCTCTGAAGAGCAGTGGGGTTTAAAGTCTGTTAAAGGAGAATAGATGGGGCATATTGTGAAAGTGCTCTCACTTAGACAGTGTTTTTAGTCTGGACGCCTTTGGATTATTTTTGAGTTACTGGAGTAGCTTGCCTATATTGAGGAAGACTGAGCCTCTTGCCTTTAGATTGTTTTCTCTGGCAGAGGGGTCATTCACGTAACTGTTGGTGTAGGCCAGACAACAGGAGAGGGGCAGGTGTACATAGTAAGTCTTGTTACTACATAGGCTGGGCTTAAAATGGAAGTCTTATCTGCTTCCCTAATCAACCTTGGATGGGACTAAATCTTACAGCTATGCCAGCAGTGTAATACTGGCGATGATCACTTCTGAAGATATTTTTACTTGCTTAGAGTGACATGGCAGTGATGGCAGGCTGGACACTCTCCACAGAGGGAAGAGCTCATGGCCAGTGAGAATCCTGCCTGTAGTGGCTGTTTGTCCAAACCCTATTAGACACTTAATGTATAACTTGTGATTAAAATATTGGAAGCAAACTGCCATGGCAAGAGACTCCTTCATGGTGTAACTTACATGAAAATGCCTTTGTGCAAAAGGTGTAAACCTTTCAAAGATTACTTTATCTGTTTCAGTTATGTCTTCAAGGCAGTTGTAGAATGTTCGTATGTGTTTATCATAATCAGCTCTTTCAGTTTATGCAGTGTGTGTGTGTGTGTGTGGAGAACAAACAGTTCTGTAAAATGTTGCAGTAAGCACCCATGTGCTGGAGAGCTCTTTGTCTTCCTGCAGAAAATGACTCAGAAATCAGGTACAACTTGCAGATGCAATGTAAGACTTTACATGTAAAGCGTGTTTTTATAGAGTTACAAAATCTATCCCCCTTTGTTTTTACAGGTCTCATTCCTTTGCTAGGAATCGATGTATGGGAACATGCTTATTATCTTCAGTATAAAAATGTTCGACCTGATTATTTGAAGGCCATCTGGAATGTGATCAACTGGGAAAATGTATCTTCAAGATATTCAACTTCCAAAAAGTAGAGTGGAATTCTTGCACAGACTACTAAAATGTCATCACTTCTACTCTGATACCACTCTTGTAGTAGTGCCTGTGGCTTACAAATGAATTGTTCTACTGCAGAAAACACTTAGCTCATCCAACAAAAGCATTTCATAATCAAGCAAAGTGTCTGCTTGTTTAATTCTTTGAGAAGTATTTACTTAGAGTTTTGAAGCTTTAAACTGTTGTGCAACAAAGGGAGACGTTAAATAATTTTTTTCATTGCATATAGAAACATACATCACCTTGCTGAACCTTAATGAATGGATTTCCTTGTTGCATTAAAATACCTAAGTGGAAATATGCACTTCATATTGCTGTAGACAAATAAAACTCAAAAGGAGAATCTTCTGTAACTGTCTGTAAGAGACTCATTTTTAGTAGTAACTGGTCCAGTTACTTATTGATGACAGAAGTGGAACACCTTTAGTAATTTGTGGTATTACAGGCTATGGAGCTTTCTTACGGATTAAAAAGATAGGTGAAAGGGGAAATAGACATTGCTGTGCCTGCCTGACTTGACTGTCCTCAGTTGTCTCTACCCATTCTTGGCTCTCTTTAAGTGAGATCTTCATGTAATGCATTGATGCCTTTGCTTTTGGAGTGTTACATTTGGCAAGAGATTACAGTACTGGGTCAGGCTAAATTGTTTATATAGGAACTGAATGACAGCACGTGATACTCATTCCATACTAGTTGTTCAAGTATATCTTAAAACATCCTTTACTTAAGAGACTGATTATGTGCATATATCAAGCATAAATTGTCTCTGCGTACCTGTGTTCCTGAAGCAGTTATAACAAGTTAAAGTTAATGCTTAAGGTGGGAATGAAGTACTCTGGTGTAAAGGAGCATGCTCAAGTGGTCTTGCAAGAGGTTTTTTAGTATTCTCCTCTAAAATCCAGGATAGATTCTCAGGGAAACAAGGAATAGACTTACATTATCATACTGCTGGGCTGCTATTTTGAAGTATCAAGTAAGGTCAAGGGCAGATGTGTTTATAAAGAAAGAGCTGCCTTTCATTAGCAGATACAGGGAGAGAAGGTACCACCTGGTCTTTAGTCACTTACCAAAGCTGTGACTGATGAGTTATCACTTCACTTTCAGAATGTTTTGTTTTGTTTTTTTTTCTACTGTGGGGTATTTTTTCTCTAGGCCTAATTCTCATCTCAGAAATGCAGCTTGAGCTTCTGCTTAAATCTGTATTGCTTCATAATCTTGTTTAAATCATCATCCCTCACATCCTTGGTTTGCCTCTAGGGTATGAGAGCAGTGATGAAGAAAAGTAAGTCTATTGGTAATGTCTGGCAGCTTTTGACTTGAATTTAAAAAAAAAAAAGTCTACTCAAGGGTCTGTATTCTTGCTGTCTGCAGAATCCTCTGTAAATCTGGAGGGCTGGCAAATGGAAGTCTCTGTCACAAACTGCTCCGATTTTCTACTTGGAGAGGAAGCCTGAGTCTCCATGAGTAAACACTAGCATCACATAGATTTTTCCTCAATAGAAGTTTCTGGCAGAAGGAGTTATACTTGCTTGGCAATTCAAAACTAAATTTTTGCTGTAATTCTTTACTGGGGTGATCAGTTTATTTTGAAACTCATTTTCCTAATAATGTTCACAGCTTTTGTCCCCAAGTGTTTCCTTCTGAGTGCTTCAGAATGCTTAAATTAATGCAAAATATTCCTGTTACAAGATTATTGAGGAAAATCCTTTTTAAGGACTTAATATTACAGAGTTGATTAATATTGTTGATAAATATTAGGGTGAGAACAGTATTTACCATAACTTGTAAATCATGTGTAGTTAGCTATAGATACAAAGCTGAATTCAAGCAAGTTGGGTTGATATCTGGATTAGTAAAGGCCAGTACTTAGGTTTTTGCTGTTAGACTTCAGCTTACTGATATCCTGCAGATAAGGTGGATTGAGTGGGAGTGAAGCAGTGATTTTTTTTTTTTTGAAGGGGAACAGGCACTTCCGATGTGAAGGGAATATTTTGTTTCTTACTTTCCAGAAGTAGCTTCAAAGTACAGAGGAGGCATGTTGTGTTTACTATGGAGTCTGCATGAAGATGAAGGAAACAATGGAGTCTTTCCTTCCATATTCAATATGGTATGATATGGTGAAATATCATATAGCAGTGATGAAAAAACCTTGTTATGAGGAGGAGCACTCCACTGAGTGATGCTGAAGCAGGGATTTGTGGGTGAGTGCCGTAATGCGTATGGTGGGCATCTTCTCGATAATGCGTGCTCTTACAGAACAGAAAGGTAAAGGTGCCTGCACAGTGGTGCTCTGTAAGGGAGTGCTTAAGCTGTGGAGGAAGCCTAAGTTGACTCCAGGCAGTGAGGAGGTAAGCCGTGGAGAGCTCCTCAAGCAGGGCCAGCTCTTGCTGAGGCTTTAAAGCCAGTAGTTGAGACCCAACACATGCCTATAAGGCTCAGTTTCTGCTGTGCACCAGTTTAAGAAGCTCTGCTCATCTGCTTACAGTCAGCTGGTAAGCTTGTCCTGCTGTCTTGTATCCTCTTAAGTCTGAATGTGTAAAGTCCAAAGCTATATCCAAACAGGAATGTTTGTGAAACAGGGAGATGAAAATTTACAGAATGTTGAAGGCAAATAGTAGGAACACTGAAGCAATGAAAGTGATTTAATGCTTGTTCTGGTGGACTGTTGTAAAGGACAAAGGTTGGTTGCGTGGTCCATTTGAAGGAAGGGTTTGCTTAAACTGTCTTAACTCCAAACTTCTGTGAAATCTGGAAAAAGCCCTAGTGGTTCTTGTGACACTAGGAGCTGGAGTGTGTGCCTGGAATTTAGTTAAAGTCTGCTAGCAAAGCTATTGGCTGGGTGGTGACAGTGCATAAACCTCTTAACTGACCTGTGTTAGGCAGTAAACACAGAGCTGCTGTTGCTATTTGGAAGTAACACTTTGCATTGCAGAAGTTGCTGTGGAGGTGGGCAGGTGTATCTTGAGAAACAGGAAGGCATATCATTACAGCCTAATGCCTTGTCTGAACAGACAAGCCTAAGACCTGTTGCCAAAAAGATAAACTATTAAAACAGTTTGTTCTACCTAGAGCTTCCTGACCCTAATGGTAAAAATAGTAGCTGTGTGTGTTAAGTTGTCTCCAACCTGAGCTGTGCAGGGTATCTCTCATCAATGAGCATGAAGTGACTTGCAGACTTGATCTGCATGACAGGAACAGTGAGTTTTCTAACCTCACTGCTAGCTGAATCAGTCTTTGACCTGGGCCAAACAGAAGCGTTGCAGAAGAATTGCATTGTGACAGTCCCTCTGAGCCTAGCTTTTGTCAGTTCTTACTTAACTGTGTTCCCTATGAAGATGCCATGTATGTATACACAGATAATTGGTGTGTAGGCCACAATATGTTACAACAATAACTTGGAATGATTTTCAAGAGGAGAGCAAAGTGCAATACCTAACCCAAAACCTCTTGGAAATGATTATGTATTATGAACTGGAAGAACAAATCACATCAGTGTGATCCTATAAACAATACGTGTGGGTGGCAAAACTGCTGCAGTTAGAGACTTTGGTTTGCAGACTACAAACAGATTCCAGTGGCTAAACTTCTTTTCAGAAACAGATGTGATCAGACCTCAAAGGGCAATATGCTGCTGCAAAATGTAAGTGCATGTTCATGATTTTTTTTTTTTCTGACCTGTAAAAAGACCTTTGAAGGCTAATATGAATGGCAAAGCATGTGTATCTCATTCAGTACTGGAAAAGATTAAAGTAATTTGAGGCCAGCCAGACTGAGCTCTGGCAGTCTTTCTGCTGTCCCTTGGTGGCAGGTAGTGTGTGGCTACCAGCAAGCCCGGAGGGTGGCGTGTTCATCCTGCTTGTGAAACGGGAGGGACCTGTGGATGTCTTCACTGAACAGCCAGAAATGGAAATAGAGCAAAGACGCTTTTTTTTCCCCCCAGCTTCTACTTTCCACCTCATGATTATTTATTTCACCTTAATCTAGAGCATGTATTAAAAAAAAAAGTAACCCCCAAACTGTCTCTAGAAAGCACTGTCATTGACTCAGTTTGTGAGCTCAAAGGTTCTTCTAGACATATAAAACCTCTTTATTTACAGAAGACTTACTTGTCTTTGTTTTGCATAGAATTTAGATCTCTCTAGCAAAATTTTAAATGCTGCTCTGCCATTCTGCTAACATTTTAGAAGCCTAATGCATTGACCTTCCCAAAGTTGTTAATACTAGCATAAAGCAAGAGAGTTGTGTTTACAGTTGTGTCTGTACTGAGTGGATAAAATACTGGTAACTCAGTAGGTTTAATCTGCCTTTTCCTCAAGGTGCCTTCTGCTTAATAATTAAAAGTAATGCCCTCAGATTTCATCGTAGCCGTTATTACCCGTTTGATTCAAAGAGCAAGGCTGCTCTGGGATCCGTGGTTAGGTGTGTGTACCTTTGACTGCAGAGCTGAAGCCGCTCCTGTCCTAGAGAACCAGAGCTGTGCATTTCCCACTAGGTGGGGGTGTAGATCTACTCTTGTCAGTAGGGCTTCCGAGTTGCGTTTCCAAGAGGAACGTTAAGGAGTTTGCGTGTACTCACTGCCCGGGAGGGGAACTGTTTGGGCTTCCACTTTAAATAATCAGGGTAACCCCTGTTAATGAAGCTACCTGTCATTAAACGGTGTGTGGGGAGGAGACAGTGCTACTGTGGAGAAGACATTTTATTTTGATAAATACAGTCAAATACAAGTCTTACTATAACTAGAGCCAGGCAGACAGAGGCAAGAGGAAGTTACTACTAATTAAAATGAAGATGCTTCTAAGGTTCCCACTTGACTGCCTCACCAGGCTCTGACCTTGTCTGTGTAGGGACACACAACATTCATGACATCCGGAATGGTCTTTCAAGGCCTGAGACTGGAGGTTGAACTGCAGGGGTCAAAGTCTGCTACATTGGTCTAATTAATCCAAGACTGCAGAGAGTAAGCAGCCGGCTACCTGAGGCACAGAGGTTTACAGTTAAAACTCTGCTGCTTCATAGGGCTGTTGCTGCTCCAGAGAAACTCCAGCTGTTCACTGGATCTTCTCACCTGAAGAGATGAATGGACAAATTAGCAGAGGCAAGTCAGCAAACCTGCTGCCTGGATCTGCCAGAGCTGGTGGTGAACCCACATTGCCTTGTGACACCACTGAGGCAGCTCTCTTGACGGATGCATGCATCCCACTGGTGTTTATAAGCATCCGTCTGGGTTGATGGCATATCCCTGGAATGCAGAGAACTCCCTGCAGTACAGCACTTGGGAATTCTTGGTGTTAGGGCTGTGTGAAATGACTGGCAGTCCTGTAGTTGTAGAGTCCTGTTGCACATAAATTTGCAGA